GGAAGATATGGCGCAACAAAAAAGAGACTATGTGACACATCGACGTTTCTTTTAATATATTAGCTAGTATAGACTAGGTTGAATTTCGTGCAATGCATAGTTAGTAGATTTTTTTTTTTTTTGAGAAATAGTAAATAATTAGCTTATGGTCCCGTGCAATGCACGGATTTACCAAAATTTATAAATATTTTTATTTCGACAACTTTTTTATGTTTTTTTTTTATAATAAGTATGAAAAAATTCGATATTCTGCTAATTATATTAAAAATTAGGATATTTTGGATTTTAACACCTTACAAAAGGCTGAAAATGTTTTTTAACACCCCCCAAAAAAAAACTTTTATTTTAACACCTCCCAAAAATATAAAAGTTGGAAGTTAACACCAAAATCCATCTTCCGTTAACAGAACTGTTAGTGGGGCCCACCCCAACGGATATATTTTTAAAAGATCTGTATATAAGAACCATTCTTCCACGATTCTTGCACGATATATAAGAACCATTCTTGCACGATTCTCCCCCAATGAACGAAATCGTTGTTCTTATTGAATAGCAGCAGCGCATTGCATTGTTGCACGATACTTGAAACAATTCTTTCACGATTCTTCCACGATTTTTGAGAAGAGGAACAGATTGAAGCTGCTGAAACAGGTGAGTGCGGTCAATTGTTCGGTTGTTTGGTAATTATGGTTTAAATTCTCTTCAATTATTATTTGCAATTGTTTCGTACTCAGATTAATGGTTGGATTATGTTATGTACGCATCTAAATGCCCAATTGCGAAATTAGGGTTCGTCAGAAATTGAATTTGGGGCTTTTCGTATTATGAAATTAAAAATGAATTTTGTTGCTGTCAATGTTAATTCGTCAGTGTACAAATCTGTAAATGTGACTGTCGATCTAAAATTGATGCAGATTATGTCGTTTGTTAGCTCTTCCCCTCCTGAGGCCAGAAAATGTAAGTGTGGTGTGCCAATGGCCAAGCTCACTAGCTGGACAAGGGAGAATCCAGGCAGGAAGTTCATATCATGTAAGTTTTATGACCCAATAACAGAAACAAGGGGTTGCAAAGCTTTCGAATGGGTTGATCAACCTGATGGAACAGATTGGCAAACAGGGGTTATCAACAACCTGTTGTTGGATAAGAAGCTGCTAAAGGGTGAAGTTAATGAATTGAAAAGGGAAGTTGATGAAATCAGTGGCCAAAGGAGGTGCCTACTTAATGAAGTTGATAATTTGAAGATGAGATGCAAGGCCTTGAACGCTGACAGGAAGAGAATGAACAGGGAGTGCAATGAAGGGAAGGTGTCTTCAATCAGCTGTTTTGGTTGGGTGGGCATGGCCATTTGTATAGGTTTGTCAATGGGTGTAATTTTCCTAATGGCTAGGGGTGTGTAATAGTAAGCTGTATTAAGTAGTTATAATTTCTTGTAATGACTTGAAGTGTTATAAATATGTCTTTTAATCAACCTATTTATGCCTTGTCTAAGTTCCTATTTATGCCTTGTCTTTTAATCAACCTATTTAAACATGTGAAACATTAAAACATGGGAAATATGTGAAACACTAAGATAGTTCAAGTACAGGTTGACAAAAGAACCTTACTTCAACATGTTTCAATGGCAATCAAAGCCATGCAACCATTACAATTCAATATCTAATTGTTCAAATTTGTTAAGGGAAGCCACTAAAAAACTAGCAAGTTACATAACCAGTCATGAGTACATAATAAAAGTTTGAAATTGTTCAACAGACATAATGTTTGATATCCAGCATGAGTACATCACTGAGTAAGGTTGTTGAGGGATTGCAGCCTGGCCCTTGTTACAACACCTGTGGCTGTTGTAGGCTGACTTGAGGAAGACCTTGTCTTTCTTTTTGGTTGGCTTGAGGCAGGCTGACTTGAGGAAGGCTGAGCTGAGGATGGCTGACTAGAGGATGGCTGAGCTGAGGAATGCTTAGCTGAGGAAGACTGTGGCTGTGGGCGCTTGCTGAATGGCAGACAACCTTCTTGCTCTTGAGGAAACTTTTTGTTTCCTATGCTGTTTGGTCCAGCCCCAATTGCACTCTATGACATGCATATAAAAATAAAAAGTCAATGGAAAAGACACATACATATATAAAACAAAGGGGGAGTTGGTGTAATGCTTGTGTTACCTTTTTAGCAGCCCTAATCTCTTTCTTCTTCCTCTCCTCCACCATCCAAGGAGTGTTCAGTGGGGGTCTGCCTGCTGACTTTATCAGCTCTGTAGCTGGTGCAGCAGGTGAGCTTGGCCATTGGCACACCACACTTACATTTTCTGGCCTCAGGAGGGGAAGAGCTAACAAACGACATAATCTGCATCAATTTTAGATCGACAGTCACATTTACAGATTTGTACACTGACGAATTAACATTGACAGCAACAAAATTCATTTTTAATTTCATAATACGAAAAGCCCCAAATTCAATTTCTGACGAACCCTAATTTCGCAATTGGGCATTTAGATGCGTACATAACATAATCCAACCATTAATCTGAGTACGAAACAATTGCAAATAATAATTGAAGAGAATTTAAACCATAATTACCAAACAACCGAACAATTGACCGCACTCACCTGTTTCAGCAGCTTCAATCTGTTCCTCTTCTCAAAAATCGTGGAAGAATCGTGAAAGAATTGTTTCAAGTATCGTGCAACAATGCAATGCGCTGCTGCTATTCAATAAGAACAACGATTTCGTTCATTGGGGGAGAATCGTGCAAGAATGGTTCTTATATATCGTGCAAGAATCGTGGAAGAATGGTTCTTATATACAGATCTTTTAAAAATATATCCGTTGGGGTGGGCCCCACTAACAGTTCTGTTAACGGAAGATGGATTTTGGTGTTAACTTCCAACTTTTATATTTTTGGGAGGTGTTAAAATAAAAGTTTTTTTTTGGGGGGTGTTAAAAAACATTTTCAGCCTTTTGTAAGGTGTTAAAATCCAAAATATCCTAAAAATTATGCATATCTTTTTAAATAATATTATTTTGCTTAAATTTTCTATAAGTTGTTACAAAAATGTTTTATTGAATTTGGGACGGAAAGATTGTGTTTAAGTAAGAAAGAAAATATTATAGCATATTAAAATTGCCTAAGATAATCTGACCAAAAAAAAAAAGTGAAGGGAAATTATTTTACTAGATTTTGCCAAGTGTCATTTTTTATTCGCCTTTAGTATATAGTTATTGATTGATTATAATAACAATAAATTTATAGAAAAAAAAGGAATAAAATAAAATGAATCAGCTCACCAAGTATTAAAAAGTATGATGTGATTTCAAAAAAAATAAAAATAAATAAATAAAGCATGATGTATATGTTAAAATTTTAAAAATGTGTTGGAAAATACTTTTCTTTTTTTTTTGGAGACAATGTGTTGGAAAATAATAATAAAACATGTAATAGTTATAATGAACAATTTGAATTTTTTTTTTAATTTTTATTTTTAGAGTGATAGATAGCTCAAGTGGTTCGAGCTCCCCTCCCGATTTCAGGTGATCCTAGGATCATTCTCATCACTTGACCTTGTGGCTCTCTAAACACCAAAAAAAAAAAATTATGAACAATTTGATATTTTAGAAAGTTTATTTTAGATTTTATACAAACTTACAAAGTAAAAGTCTTAATTTCTTTTTATATATAAATTTATTCAAGCAAGTAATTTTGGAGAGAAATTTTTTAAATATGTGTTATCAAGTCGAGCTCTCTCTTAGTTTTGCCTTTAATAGTACGTAATAGATAGATAGATTGCCAGTCCTATCTCTTTAAGTTTTGTATGTGGACATGTGGTCACCCTCATTCTCTCACAGTTTAGCCAGAGTAGTTTATAAGAATAACACTTATTTATTAATACAAGTATCATCAATTATTTACAAGGGTTTTCTAAAAAATAAAATAAAATAAATCATAAAGGTAACTTTATTTTGTCCGTTAGATTAACCCTAGCTTATTATACAAGTAACATCAATTAATTCAAGTAACCTATTTTCTTTTGTTTTGACTAATAATAAAATAGTATCACTTATTTTGAAGAGTTTTCTTATTTTTCCATTGTGGTAACTAAGGGTTGTTCTGTTTACAAAAACAACAACAACAACAAAAATGAGAGTGTTCAAAATCTAGTCCGAACCGAAAAAATGGATAGGGACCAATTTAAACCGGTCCCAATCTTGAGAAAATTATAAAACAGGACTTGGAGCAAACCAATTTTTTTAAAATTATGAATAAAACCTTTAAAATGTTTATTTTTTTAAAAAACTTATGAATAAAACCTTTAAAATGTTTAACTTTTACTTACATTTAATATGTGAATTTTTCTACGTGAAAGCCGAACTTTTTTCCAACTCTCTTTAGTGGCACCCAAGTCTTGAAAAATTATACATAGTGTCCTTTTTTAAGTTTTATGGTTAACCTTTGTGATCAAAATGGTTAACCTTTGTGATAAAAATGGTTAACCCAAGTTTTGGCATCTTGCTGTTGCTAATTACCCAGAAGAAAGACATAATAGAAAAGACTTGACATAATTTTCCTTCTAAAAAACTTAATTTATAGCTAATCATGGACAGGATGACACTTTGGGTCAGAAAACATCTATCCAAACTTAGCCAAAATTGGGCTGAGACACTGTTGTTCATCTCTAGCATATACTTCCTATTCTTCCACTTAAACACCCATCCAAGTTGCCAAAGGCTTATACTCTGCTTCTTATCTGGCCGTGACATGAAAAATTCATGTATCCAAGAAAATAAACTTCAACTGCTCCAATAATTCATGCCTAAGAACTTCAAAGATCCAATACACATACAACTATACAAGTATAATAGTTATCCATCTAGTCAAAAATTGTAAAATGAATTTTATACACTGTTATTAGATTATTTTTTGCCAATTCTGAGTTCATGAGAAACATCTATTCAAATTGAGCCAAAATTGATCCGGGACAATGTTAATTCGCTCTAACCGAGTGCATACTCCCTAATCTTCAACTTAAACACCAATCCGATTTGCGTAAGGCATTTACTCCGAATATCTGACCAACACATGACAAATACATGTATCCAACAAAATAACATCAAATTGCTCCAATAATTCATAAGTAAGAAATTTGAAGATCCAATTTACATACAACAGCTACCTATCAATGTCAAAGATTGTAAACTGAGTTTGTATACACTAAAATTACATTATCATCTCGAAAAACAACATTGTTCATTGTATGCATATTCTCAAACACAGTAAATACTTTCAATGAATTGAAAAGCATTATACCCTCTAAAAGGGAACAATTTATCACTTTCATCTACTACATTGCACAACAATTTCGAAACCTTAGTTCTAAAATTGTAAGTAATAACTTTACCAGGGATAGATATCACCAATGCCGAATCATCATCACCATCTCCGACATTATCACGAACAACAGCAAGAATTGAGAATGCATAAAACCGCAATCCACGCCCAAACCTATCACTATGATCCTGAAACAGCTCGGCCTCAAACCCACGTCCTAAAACATCAAGATTAACCCTGTACTTGACAAACCATTCAGCCTTACTCTTCCTATCCAACTCCAAGACATTGAATTCACTCACGCAATTCGTTCGAATCTCAATCAAATGTAGATGCCCACAAGATTCACCAAAGTACCTAAACCTCTCAATGTAAGCACCTTCAATAGCCTTTGGCATTGCCAATGACTCCACACATTCGGTATCGAAATCGAAACATATCGTAGTTTCAGTATGACTAAGCCAGTAAACCCTACCTTCCCAATAAACCCCATGATCAAACTCAACATCAAATGGACCCTTAAAGGGATCAATAACACCCCTCCTCCATTTTCGATTCCCAGAAGAATAAACATCAATTGAATACGAATTCTCCTCAATTTTCGACCCCGAAACACTAACAACTTGATAATGCGGAGACCTAGCAGGATCAAACCCTAAATTAAACCCCAAAAACGAAGAATCACAATCACCCTCATCAATTCCAGCAATAGGCAAATCAATGCAAACTTTCTGATTCGAAGTCGGATTACAAACAAAAATGAGAACCCCAGAAGAACAAAGGAAGAGACCATTACAAGACTGAAGAATATGAAAAGGGGGAGAGTTAAGGAGAGAGAAAAAGGGTGGACGACATTGTTGTTGAGAAGTGAAGGAGATGAAGTCGTAAGAAGGAGAGAGGATTTGGGAATGGTGGAGGACGAAGAGGGCGGAAGAAGGTGGGTAAAGATGGCGGTAACAATGGAGGAGAGAGAAACGGTGGTGGGAAATGACGGAATTCCATTGTTTGTTGACGGATTTGAATCGGAGAAGGGGTTTAACGGGGACGTGTGAGAGGATTTCGGTGAGAAGGTCGTCGTTCCCGGCGACTATCTCCGGCGACGGTGACGGTGTTTGAGATGTTGACATGGTGGTGACTGTTGAGTTTTGTGAGTTGAATGTTGAAGAAATGAAACTAGGAAAGATATGGTCGTTTTTAGTCAAAATGAAAGCAAATCATATTCGGTTCTTTTTTTGTGCGGGTTACTTAGTCGATTAGCGCGTTTTTTTTGAGTAACTTCAGAATAAGTAACTCCGCTTTTGTGAATAATATCTACAGATTAATTCAATGTCTACTTTTATACTCCGTAATCTATATCTATGCTTATATATTAAATATCGTTTCTAAAACAGAATATGTTCCACGTGTCACTTTTTTTAAGTTCGACATGTCAGCAATATATGCCACATATCACTATAAACATGACATGTCACTTCACAACATGTATTATAACAAATATTGTTCTTGCTTCTTCAAATGGTGCTTAAATTTTGTACCAAAATATCATTTTTGGGGATTTTTGCTTTTTAAATCATATAACTAATATCTAAAGCTAAACTTTTAGACAGGTCATGACGTTGCGACACTTGGCGTTCTAACTTTTCGCCAAGTGTCGCGCCATGTTGGAGCGATTCAAATAGACTTCATAAAAAAAAAAGGATAAAATTTAAGTTTATAATTTTATTTTCGATAAAAGACCAATATTTAATTGAATTATAATTTTATTCAAAAAAATTATTAGATTATAATTCTTAAAAATCATCATATAAATTTAATTTTTTATGTCTATTTTTTTAGAGCGAAGGAATTAGTTTAAAGTGTTAAACATCTATTTATAATATATACTAATCGGTTAAAATAATATACTTCACAACTAATAGAATGTTATTACTACATAGACATGTCAATTAAGGTTGAGTCATGAATCATCTCGGATTGAGTCACTTTAGGTTACGAGTCAAGAAATGTTCAACCCTTACCCAAAGTTTAGGGTTCGGGTCAACCCAACGGACTTTGAACATTTATCTTATTTAATTTATTTATTGTTTATTTTTTTTAAAGTATTATATCGAACATTTCCACCAATATTAGTATTAATCATTACAGGTGCCTACTAAATAGCAAATCGTCACAAAAGCACATCAATAAACTAATTTTTTATCCAATGGTATATTTTAAAATTTGACATATAGATTAAATTTTTTTATCTTTAATCAATAAACAACCCGGGCATCGCACGGGCACAAAACTAGTCTATAATATAATTGTAGAGTCGTTTTAACGAGAGCCCTCCAAAACCCCAATGCTCTACTCTCATGCATTTAAGTTATTTTTTTCTTTTTGTTAAAAAAAATAATAACTACCCATTCACTACTATTTCTTTTTTTTTATGGAACTACGTTACTACTAACATTTCACTTTATGTGTGTGTGTGTGTGTTTTTTTTGGTACGTAGTATAACATATGGCACAGGGGCGGACCCATGAAGAAACAAGGGGGGACCATTGTCCCCTCACTTTCGGGAAAAAAAAACAGCGGAAAAAAAATTTTAGGAAAAAAAATAAAACTGGAAAAATAGTTATATTAAATTGAGTGTAAGAATAAATAAGAAGTTTGCCTTAGCTAAGTTGGTATTGGGCTAAAAATAATATGTCAAGGGGCCCAATTTCAGGTTTACCTAGATCAGGGTTCGAATCCCCTTTCATTTTATTTTTTTTGAGTGTTTTATTTTAAGTTATTTTGACTTTTACCACCCGCAAAAAACGAAAAAATTGGTATTACCACCTCCATAAAAAAAGTTTTATTTTACGACCACATAAAAAAAAAAATTGGCTTTTACCACCAATCACCTCCAACTAACGGATTTCGTCCATAAATCCGTTAGGGGCGTACCATGTCCACGTGTCACCATATTATTGGGTTTTCTTTTTTTTTTTTATTTGTTAATTTATTTATTTTATTACCCAATAATATGGTGACATGTGAACATGATAGGCCCCACTAACGAATTTATGGACAGAATCCGTTAGTTGGCGATGATTGGTGGTAAAAGTCAATTTTCATTTTTTTTATGTGGTGATAAAATAAAACTTTTTTTTTTTATGGAGGTGGTAAAAGCAATTAAGTTGTTTTTTAGAGGTGGTAAAAATAAAAAATTCCTTTATTTTAACCAAACCACTCGACTACTCTCTTATTCCTATTTCCCAACCACGAGGCACGAACCACCACCCACACGACCACGAGTCACGGAGTGCAGCGAGCATCTTCGGCAAATGTTTGCCAAGAAATTAACATCACAAGATAATATGGCATTCGAATCCCCCTTGTAACATCAATCCTTTTTTTGGGGGGGGGGGGTGTTTTATTTCAACCATACCACTACTCCCTTATTCTATTTCCCAACCAAACCCAAATTACTTGTATTGTGTACCCGTTTTTTTTTAAAAATTGGTTGATGTTAGTTGAATTATCGAAATTGTCCCCCCATTATCAAATTTCTAGGTCCGCTACTGATATGGCATGCATTAGCACGAGTATACGGTTCCTTTATCAACAATTCACTATATCACTCAAAACCCCAACAACATTTCACTTTTTTTTTAACACTACGCACTAATATTGCACTTTGTTTTACGAGTACTTTTTTTGGTATATAGTATAATATATGTCATGCATTAGCACAAGTATACAATTCCTTTATTCAACATTTCACTATAGTACTCTAAATCCCCAACCCTTCAATTATATGTATTTTTTTAGGGACTACCCTCCAAACATTTTCCACTTCTTTAATCATCAAAAACAAAAAAAAAAAAAAAAAAAAAAAAAAAAAAAATATGTACAACACGTTTTTGTGCAACTAGCCTCACCGAATAATTACTTGCAACAGAACAAAGTATGTAACTCCTAGAGCAAGACACTAACCCATATGACACTAACTGAGTAACACGAGTAACACCTATAACACTGAACAGGTAACCTCTATAACTTTGAAAAAGTAAACCCCATAATAGCATTGCGTGCCCATCGACATAAAAGAGTAAGACCCAGTTTTTTGAGCTTCTAAGAAAAGCATAGAATAACATATTATTTCAGCACAGCACAACAGAGCTAATTAGGGTTCTACAGAACCGACCATTACAGCTCAAGTCTAAATACAACATCAAAATCAACTTCCCACATTTTAAATTTATTTTTTCTTATATATCCCGTGCATTTTGCACGGGTACACTCTAGTTACAATGATTTTTGAGTGACTAAGGATTTTGGACAATTAAGGATTTTAAGAAAAGCATAGAATAACATATTATTTCAGCACAGCACAACAGGTGTCAGCACATTATTAATACGATTATTATTAATACTCAGCACAACAGAGCTAATTAGGGTTCTACAGAACCGACCATTACAGCTCAAGTCTAAATACAACATCAAAATCAACTTCCCACATTTTAAATTTATTTTTTCTTATATATCCCGTGCATTTTGCACGGGTACACTCTAGTTACAATGATTTTTGAGTGACTAAGGATTTTGGACAATTAAGGATTTTGAAAAAGTAAACCCCATAATAGCATTACGTGGCCACCGACATAAAAGAGTAAGACCCTATTTTTTGAGCTTCTAAACAAAGCATAGAATAACATATTAAGCATAGCACAACAGGTGTCAGCACATTATTAACACGATTATTATTAATACTCAGCACAACAGAGCTAATTAGGGTTCAACAGAACCTACCAGTCCAACACCAACCATTACAGCTCAAGTATAAATTACAACATCAAAATCACCTTTTCACATTTTAAATTTATTTTTTCTTATATATCCCGTGCATTTTACACGGGTACACTCTAGTTACAATGATTTTTGAGTGACTAAGGATTTTGGACAATTAATATACATTATCCGTCTTTATATATTTGACACTTAACTCACAATGATATCATCTATTAAGCCCTGTTCTCTTCACATTAAAAAAAAATAATATTAAGTAAAAATAATTCCAGTTAAGTAAAAATAAGTTTAGTTCAGTAAAATTAATTTCAGTTCAATAAAAATAATTTCATTTCAGTAAAAATAAGATGAAGAGAACAGGGCCTTATTCTAAGTTCAGCAAAATTAATTTCAATTCAGCAAAATAATTTCAGTTGAGCAAAATTAATTTCAATTCAGTAATCGAAAATCAGTAAAAATAATTTCAGTTCAGCAAAATTAATTTTAATTCAGTAAAATTAATTTAAGTTCAGTAAAAATAATTTTAGTTCAGCAAAAATTATTTCAGTTCAGTAAAACTAATTTCAGTTCAGCAAAATTAAAGTGAAGAGAACAGGGCCTTATTCTAACTTCTTGTATATTAAGGTGGTTTGGCCTTGTTTGGTTGTAATGGGATTTAAGTTCTCATGGTAACTTATAATTTATGATTCTTATCAAATTCCCACAAAATTGCTTTAATTTTATTTTTGGGTTTTTTTGTTGGCATTGAGGAAACTACAATTTATAAGAAGTTTGAATTACATAAGAAGCTCGTAGATCTTCATTAATAATAATGAATTAAAAGAAAAAACATAATAGAAAATACGGATAATTCAAAGAAAAAATCTACATTAATACTTAATAATTAAAAATTACATCATATAAATATAAATGTGGTTTTACAACAATTAATAAAATCCTACTAAGCACATTTTTAAATGATAATAATTCAACTACAATTAATTTTTATAAGTAAATCTAATAATTTGAACTATAACTACTAATAAAATGATATATAAAAAATCCTCCAATAGCCTAATTTTGTAGTAATTTTTTGAACCATCCATCACCAATTTCTTCAGTAACATTTTCATTATCAACCTTTCTCTCCTTTATCCACTAATAAAAAAAACTAAGAAAACTCCACAAATGAAAGCAGTAATAGCAATCCATAAATATTGTAGTCGATTATCCCGTGATAAAATCATTATCACAGTTCTAATCACAGTTCTAATTGCTCCAAAATCGGTATGTACTAAGATAACTTCGTATTTAAACAAAGCTATCAATTCTAAATAAAAAAAAAATCTAAAGTACTAAACACTACAACTCCAAATACCCACAGTGTCCCACATCTAAAGACAAATTTCAACAAAATCATTATTAAAATGCCTAAAATAATGTAATAGTGTCCTACATCTTAGAAATAATTGACGATTGAGCTTTGATTTTTATATCGATCAAATAAATATTCACAACCTCACTAAAAAAGAATTTGAAAATCTCACAGAAATTAACATGTTAGATTTGTATATTTACATCAAATAAGGATTTACAAGCTCACTGTAAAAGTTATTATATTTAACAAATTATTTACAAATTAACAAATTATATTAATATTCTTTGAAAAAACAAATTCCATTAAAGTCAATTCTAAATTAACAAATTACATAAATATATATGTATATATTATCTTATCATATACATTTTTTGAAAATGATAGAAATTTTGAGATTTCCAAAAATCTATTACTCCCTCCGTTCCCATATGTTTTTTACGTTTTCATTTAAAGTGTTCCTTTTTATTTTTACATTTTATATATTTTTCTTTTTAGTCATAAATTTTGGACAAATTTACTTTTGTTTTACAATTTCAATACTTACAACTATGGTCGTATTATTTTATGTTATTGTGTTAGTATTTGCACATTCTGTTCGACATTTCAAATGGGTTAAATCAAAACCATTATCAGGTATCCTTACATTTTCTACCATGATAACTACTTTTCTTCCAATAATTTCAAACTTAGACATATCATTAGGTAAAGGAAATGATTGGTGGATAAACCTAGACGAACCATTAGGTAAAGGAAATGATTGGTGGGTGTTTGGGGTTGTAGTATGCACTACAATTGATTTGTTTTGTTTGGAAATTGTTGTCTTATTAAACTATGAAATTATTTTGATTCATACGGTATTTGGTGCAATCGAGACTGTGATAAAGTCATTATCACGAAATGGAGATGTTCAATACTTATAAATTGTCATTACTGCGATTGTTTGTGGAACACCCATAAGTATTTTGTTCTCATTTTGGTAATTATTATTCATTTGATCATCAAAAAGAGAGTAAAAACTAACATTGAGTTATATGGGTGTACGCTACACCCGGTAGAATATAACAATCGCTAAAAGATATAGAAGATTTAATATAATATATAAATTGAATATAATGGTAAAGTACGAATGAAAATAGTATAGTAAACTAAATAATTCCTAAGTTAGTTTGGCAAAATCAAAATGAAAATTTTAGGAGGAAATTTTTTAACTAGAAAATGACACGTGTTATTTTTTCATTCGCTTTTACTATATAATAACTAGACATAAGCCCGTGCGATGCACGGTCCTAATAAATCTTTTTAATAATTTAAGATTTAGTATATGAAGATCATTAATTAGATATTTGGATAAAATAAATTTATATTATAAGATAATTTTTTTTTTAATTTTAACATTAAAGTTATCTTTCGTAGGTTTATTTTTTTTATGTGGCGCTTGAATTTAAAATCTCAAACCTTATTCATTAATTTTGCTTAGGTGACAATTTAATTTTTGATTATTAAAAAAATTAGGAGGATTCTTCTAAATTTCTCTTTATATATAAGGAAAAAAGTCATATGAGATTTAGTTTTATTTGTTTCGATGAGTGCATTATTAATATCTTATTTTTATAATATTTTCTTGGGAAAGATTAAAGATATTTGCGATCAAAGATTTGCATCCATATATGTAAAAAAGATAATTATTAGTTTTTTAAATAATTTAAAATTTAATTATTCACTATTCATTATTTTTACCTCAGTGGAAAAATTCTTAAATCTTATTCGTTACTTTTGTTTAGGTGGCAAGTGGATTTTTTAATTCTAAAATAAATTATTAAATTAATATTTTATTGGTCAAAATAATACATTTTCTTATGTGGCGCGTCGAATGCTCCCAAAAAATGTTTATTTTATTTGTATATACTAGATGAAAGCCCGTGCGATGCACAATTTTTTTTCTTGCATAAATTTCATGAAAGGATAATTTATAATTAATAAGTAAATAATATAATTCCTAAACCACTATTTTTGTTTGTTAAAAAAAATCACTTTTTTATCTTAAATTTTTTTCTTACAGTTTAAAAGAATTTTTTTTCTTAATTATATCCTATAATATTTGATTAACTTGCTATTACGGTTTAGAAAAGAATAATTATTATTTTTATGTAATTTAAAATGTGATAATTTATATGTAATTCCAAATGTGATATTTTTTAATGTAATTCCAAATATGATAATTTTTTTATGTAATTCCAAATGTGATAACTTTTAGTTTTTATAAAAATGTCACAATTTATTATTGTTCACCAACTGTGATGGATAAAATTTTTCATATGAAAAGATAATTTTTTATTTTTTTAAAAAATTAAATGCTAAATCATATATACTTTTTAATTCTAAAATAAAATATAATCATTATGTATATTATTTCATTCGTTAGATATTTTTTAAGGTTATTTTTTAAAAATAATCTAAATCCTAAATTATTAATCATGGGTTTTTTTTTACTATTCATGAGTTACTTGTTAACTTACGTTGCACATATAACTAAAATAAAATCATCTCAAATCTTATTTGTTATTTTTTGTTATGTAGCAATTGATTTTTTAATTCTAAAATAAAATGTGAATCTCTTTTTTAATTGGTTAATAGCTTATTAGAATGACTTTGTTCATGTTCCTGTGCCCTTGTCATGCACTTTTTTAATTTTAATATATTTTTTTCATTTATTGATATAGGGTATAAAGATTTTTTGTAATTAAATTATTAGTTTCTGTTTAAATACCTCAACAACCACCGCTACTACTATCCTGCTCTCTCTTGTCTGTTTGAATACCTCAACAACCACAAATTTAAGGTGAGGTTGAAACTGAGGTCGAAATTGAACTTTGTTGGCAGATCCGAGGAGATATCCTGCGGCAAAAAACACTCCAATTTGGATTAGCTTACCTAGTTGTAACGGAGAATGAGAAGGGGATGAGATGGCTGGAAGAGGAGGAAGGGCAGGAAAAGGAGGAACAACCGAAAGAGGAGGAACGACCGGAAGAGAAGGTGGAACATCTGACGAACCAAATAAAAATGTGAACGATGCCAAACTTTGCACAGTTGTTGTTCAAGTCCTCCACACTCCCCCAATGAATACAACCTCGGGCTACTTCAAGTAGCTTGGTTTTCTCCTTTGATGGAATTCCATATGAGAATAACAACTTGAATTCGCCGAAGTTTTTAGTGAACACACTCCCGACTAATTCGATTACATGGCTTTCGTCATTCACAAAAAGAGTTTTAGATTGTCGGAATTCATCCACATTGAATGAATTAGGGTTTTCGAGAAAGTGTTTGTCCCTGTGTATATATATAGTTTCACGTAATTTGTTAATTTATGAATATTATTTATAAGAAAATGCTAAATTCGCCATTGACATTTATATACCTTCGTCCCAAGTAAAGACTGTTAATTCGAGCGAATGAAGAGAGTAACGAAATCCACATCAGCCAGACTGATTGGGATAAATACAGATACAAGAAAGATTCGTATTTTGCTCTCCATCACATGTTCAAAACCGTGATATAACTAGAAGTAATTCCCTTTAAAAATAAATTAATCGATTAGTTATTTGATCTATTTTCTATATTGAACAAAAAGAAAAAGTTATTTTTGACTTAAAATCTTACCGGACAAAATGGTTGCATTATAAGTAATGGTGAGATGAAATAATATCCAATCTTGGATGGGCGACGAATAGCTGCATAGAAAAAGCTGAATCCGACACTTATTGTTGTAATAATTTCACTAGGTTTAACTAAGTCCACTAGGTTCAAATAAAATTTAACTAATTTTTAACCACAAGTAAATGTATTTATTATCCTAAATTATTAATAAAAACATTTATATAAACTATTATAATATTGAAAAATCGTACATATATATATATATATATATAGGATCATGTGAGAACCTAGGTGTACAATAGGAACTAGGAACTAATCGTGACCGTTGATCGCTTTCAATCAGACAGCTCACGTTTAACCCGCCTCATTAAGGGTATTTTTGTAATTTCAGAAGTTGAATGACCCCCTTCTAATTCATGCGCCCTTCATTTACTTTCTCTCTCTTCTTCAACATTTTCTCTCTCTACCTTCGAATTCTCTCAAAGGTGATATTTCGCAATTTCGATTCTTTGCTTACGCTCATTAATTTTTCAAACTCTTCGATTTTGATCTTCTAGTACTACGTAATCTTTGATTTTGTTATTCATTGAGGTAAATTTCTTGTGTTTTATATTTTATTTTGATTTTTGAATCCAATTTTTGCGATTTTGATTGCGAAATTAGGGTTTTCCGAATCATTTGTTTGAGTATTTGTGATTCCAGTTGTAATATTAGGGAATTTACAATTTTACGATGCCGCATTTGCAATTTTGTTGTTGAATTTCGCTTCCTATACATCGAGTCTTCATTTTCTATATCCAGTTCTTCAATGATTTTCATTAAGCGCTCAACTACTTACTCGTATTGCCTTAACTTTGATCCAAATCGTTGATTTTTCTGTTTATTTTTCGAATATGTGTAAATTGCTGAAGTTACGATTTTTTTTTGTTATTATTATTTGATTGAAAATTTTAATTTCAATTGTTGTAATTAGGGTTTTTAGTCGAATTTGTATAGTAGTATAGTTTATTTTAATGTAACTATTGTTTTTGTTTGATTTTCATGTTTTATTGCTGTTATTTTTTTGCTTTCTACTTATTTGTCATGTTCCGAATCTTAGGAATTGCATTCGAGTATATATCCTAAGCTTAAGGTTTTCATACTACCTGGTTTGAAACTTTCCATCATGTGTAAGTTTATTTTTTATATGGGATGTATGATTTGTAAGTATGTTTACTCTACTTTGTTTGGGAAATCGTTACATTCTTTGTTTCTGAGATTGCTACATCCTGTAATTGACATATTAGACTGTCTTCTGTCATGTACCTGAGAGTGCACTTATGCTGATGTTTGAGTATCTGTAATGGATGTTGTGATTTATCCACTCCATGGGTCGTTGCCCCCGGAGTTACAGGTTCGTATTTTTAGCCCTCCTCTGAGTAATTGTAGGAGATTTATTGTTTCAACTAATATTGCTAAAACTTCTTTGACCGTTGATTGGGTTTTGTATGTTATAAATTCTGGTTATGTTAAGCAAAGACAGTATAATCCTCAAAATGGGATGTATTCATTAGATACTATACATATTAGTAGAGTGCAGACTATATTAGAAATGTTAGTTATAGGTTATATTCATCTGTTGTGTATAAAGATGATTTTATGGAGGTCGCGGTACTTGCAGGGAGTGTCCTGTATTTGAAGTCCTTCGACCTCCCTAGCATTGATATTCCTAAGTTTGATTTTTAGGATCCACCTTCTTATGCGTCTTTAGGTGATGCGTTTAAGCAGTTGTATCTCATTGATGTAAAAGATGAGAATGGAGCAATAACGAGTGGTGGGAGAACCATGGCTGAGCTTCTGTTGGAGCCTTCTTTGTCTAGGACTCTAAAAACGAGTGTTTGGGAGAACCATGGCAGTTGTATCTCATTTACTTTTTAGTATTTTTTGTATCAATTATATTTGAAATAGATTATGGATGGATACAATGCGAACCAATGGACTCAACCGCAATGCACTCAACTGAATTTACTCAGGCAAACCCCATTCCCAAAGACCCATTTGCCACTTTTACATTATCTAAGAAAATGTGGAAGAAGAGAGAGAAAGTAAATGAAGGGTGCATGAATGAGAAGGGGGTCATTCAACTTCTAAAATTACAAAAATAGCCTTAATGAGGCGGGTTAAACGTGAGCTATCTGATTGAAAGCGATCAACGGTCACGATTAGTTCCTAGTTTCTATTATACACCTTGTTTCTCACACACACACACATATATATATGTATATATATGTATATATATATATATATATATATATATATATATATATATATATAGGGTCGGGATCCGGTGAGAACCACCCTTTATGTGAGAACACTCCTAATATATGAGAACAAATCTAAGCCTTAGGATCAAACAATATCAACGGCTCTAATAAATCCAAACTTTTCATCCATATACTTCCTGCTACTCAGAAAAACAGAGTGAAGAAAGTACGAGCTTCAATTTCAATGAGATTCAAGGATTTCGAACACAATTTCATTTGATTTTTGTCAGAATTCAGCAGCAACAAGAATCAACAAGCTTCATAGATTATACAGGTAAATAATTAACAAAAGTTATGTTAATTTTTTTCGAACATAATTTTCTTAAATTTTTGTCAGTATTTTCGAATTTACGTGGTGTCGTTTATCATTATCTTGTTTGTGTTGACAGAATCCTTTTACTTAGTTGATTAATTTTTGTTATGAATTTTGTAATTGTGTTGCAATTAAAACTTGGTTTAAAATGGTTTATTGGTGCATTTTTATGATATTTATGAATATCCTGATAGTGCATACAAGGTGTTTGATAAAATGCTTGTTAGAAATCTTGTGACTTGGTACTCTATTTCAATTAGTTTGTTTTGAATGAGTTCGTAGGTAATACTTCTGATACTTTTGATGCGGAAAATGATGAACTGCCCTTTGTTATGAATCCTTTCACCCTTTATTTTGTAATTATTTGATAAATTCAATAGAAGATATGTAAAATGAGCAAACATAATTAAAATGAGCAAACTAAATATGAATAGTAATATAGTGAAAATAAAATGAGCGAACAAAAATAAAATGAGCAAATTGGTCAAAATGGATGAAAATGAATTTAGGAATAAATATGGTTCTTCTTCTGGGTCTGTGAAAAGAAGGCTTGTGAAAAATGATTGCTCGCCATTGTATGATCGAGGATATGTTGTTGGTTGGCATCTGATGGGGGAAATGTCAAAGATAGGTAAGAATTTAGTGAGGCCTTTATGTCCGAAGTAGGATGTTATGACAAATACTTTACTTATTCCAGTGCTTTTTGTGAGTAGAAAAGTGAGTAAATAAAATTGATCATTCGATGTAAATTTGGTTCTATAGATATGCTTTATGCTTGATGTTGCTGCATTGTACTGTGATATTTTGACAAGTAATATATCATATATAGGTTGTTTGTCTCCTTTTAACAAGTAATTGCATTTAGAGCAGCCTCACCTTCCAATTTACTTAACATCTACCTTGTGCTTTCTGATATTGATGCTGATTTATCTGTTTGCTACTCTAATAACTGTCTGATCTGATGGTTGAGATTACAACTGCTACAATGTTATTTTATGGGGACTGCATTACTGTTAAACAAATATTCGGTGTTTGAAAATATATAGTCTCAAACATAAACTTTTACGTTTGTTAAATACTTCATAGTTTTCTTCTTCAATCTGTTGCATCTAGTGTGTGTGTGTCAGATGACTGAGACCTTGATATTTATTTTCTCTGTGCGGCATCAAATAAGCAAATAATTAGTTACTTATTTGTAAAATAAGCAAACATTTCTTTGATCATTTGGGAAATGAGCAATCAATTTTTTTTATTCATTTAGAAAATGAGCAAATAGTTGGTTGCTCATTTGTCAAATGAGCAAATAATTAGTTGCTCATTTGTTAAATGAGCAAATACTTAATTGCTAATTTAACAAATGAGCAAAAACTTAGTTGTTCATTGGTCAAATATAACCTTCTAGTCTTTGTGGTTGGGTTGGTGGTGGTGGTGGGGGGGGAGGGGGGGAGCGGGATCAGGACTTGGTGCAATTGTTGTGGCTGAGTTGATGGTGCCACTGAACACTCAATCATATTGACTTTACTCTGCCAACAATTTCTATAGGTATAAACTAAAGCTGCTTCGGGGAACGGTGTATTTTAACTTTGATCATTCTCCGAGGAAAAAGCTAAAAATCAATACATGACCTCTTGGGTCATAATACTCGAGGGCTATGGCTGCACCATGACATTGCCTCATTGGTGCATCATTATTTTTTATCTACTGGGATGATAGAGAAGTAGAGGAGGTGGGGGAGTGGGAAGGATGAAAGATTTTATAGGATGGGAAAATTTGATGTACCGAATGCTTTATGCTGAACTTGGATGAGATTATGATTTAGTACTATGAAGTGATATTTGACTCCTTCTTTGGTTGCAGGTTGGGATTAGGTCTATCCAAAGTGAAATGTCAAACATTAATATCAGGGGGAGTGCGAGGTACCCTTTCTTGGATGGCACCTGAGCTTCTGAGTGGCAGCAACAGTCTAGTCTCGCCTCTGAGAAGGTTGTCATTTTTCTAGATCCAAGGTTATGGTTTCTATAACATAATTTCTGACAGCAACAAACTAGTGCTGACTTTTTTAATCTATCATATTGCTAGGCTGACGTGTTCTCTTTTGGTATTGTTTTGTGGGAACTTCTCACTGGAGAAGAGCCATATGCTGACTTGCACTATGGGGCTATTAGTGGTAATTCCTTAAAATCTTTTCTCTGAGCTATGTCACAATGATTTTTTTTTGGGGGTGCTTGGTGGATGTGCAAAGAGTAACTCTTTCTGTTATAATGACAATAACTTCAACCTTAAGCAGCTAAGCACTTGCAATTGAGAAACATTGCAAAAAATAGTATTAACTGAAGTTTGGTATGGTACCAAAATTGCTATTACTGTAATACTTATTTGGTTTCGGTAGATGACCGTAGAAACTAATGACGTCCAAGCCTCATTTGGTTGGGTGCCCGGTTTGCAATTTTAAAGTTTGCTAGAGAAAATAAAATTTTCCTAAGCCATAGATTCTTTTCCGTTGTGAAATGTTATGTCTAGAATGGGTTTTGGGTTTTGAGGATAATGTAGGTATATTGACTCCATTTTGTTTTGCAACATGTAAATAGGAGGAATTGTGAGCAACACTTTGTGACCACCTGTTCCTGTGAATTGTGACCCAGAGTGGAGAGATGCTGGGCTGCAGACCCACTACAGAGGCCGAACTTCACAGAAATCGCCAACGAGTTGCGCGTTATGGCTGCCAAAATTTCAGCTAAGGGGCAAACACCAGTTACAACTACAAGAACAAACACCTAGTTGGTTTTAATTTTCTTGGCTCTCATTCAGTTAATGTCTAGTTGGAGTATGTATATGGCCTATGCTAATTTGGCATCATAGTCTTATGGATATCATATGGATAGTTGCTCATTTGTCAAATGAGCAAACAATTCTTTGTTCATTTTATCAAATGAGTAAATAATTCTTTGTTCATTTATCAAATGAGCTGATTTAAAATTTATAACATAGAAAATGATTTAAAGCATATGATAAACCTATTAGCTCAAATGGTAGAGCACTATGCAAATGCATAGCGGATGTAGGTGCAATTCCTACATAGGTTATCTCTATAAACAAAATTAATTAAAAAAAAATCAAGTTCGTACTAAATTATATGAGCAGAAAAATAGTTTGAAATGATTTATAACTATATAAATTTTGTTACAATTAATCTCTCGTACAAACTTGTGTCTCCACATTACATAAATGAACCTACGTGGGATTCGAACCCACATCTTTTGTGCATTTGCACAATGCTCTACCCTTGAGCTAGTAGGCTAATATATTTAAAACATTCAAACACACTCACAAATGAGCATTAATTTGACAAAATGAGCAAGAACCATTTTCTCATTTGACAAATAAGCATTAAATAGTTTGCTCATTTGACAAAGGAGCATTGAATTTTTTTGCTCATTTGTCAAATGAGCAATTGACAAATGAGCAAAAATTAATTGCTCATTTGACAAATGATCAAAGAATTGTTTTGCAAATCTATAACCTGTAATTTTTTGTAAAATGAGCAACCATTAATTTGCTCATTTGTCAAATAATAAATAATTAATTACTCATTTGTAAAATAAGCAAACATTTCTTTGATCATTTAATTCGGGAAATGAGCAATCAATTTTTTTGCTCATTTAGCAAATGAGCAAATAGTTAGTTGCTCATTTGTCAAATGAGCAAATACTTAATTGCTAATTTAACAAATGAGCAAAAACTTAGTTGCTCATTTGTCAAATGAGCAAATAGTTAGTTGCTCATTTGTCAAATGAGCAAACATTTCTTTAATCAACAAGCATTTCTTTGCCCACTTGTGAAATGAGCAACCATTTGTTTGCTCATTTGTCAGATAAACAAATAATTAGTTACTAGCTTGTAAAATAAGCAAACATTTATTTGATCATTTAATTTGGAAAATGGACAATCAATTTTTTGCTCATTTAGCAAATGAGCAAATAGTTAATTACTCATTTGTCAAATGAGCAAATACTTAGTTGCTAATTTAACAATGAGCAAAAACTTAGTTGCTCATTTGTTAAATGAGCAAATAGTTAGTTGCTCATTTGTCAAATGAGCAAACAATTCTTTAATCATTCATTAAATCAACAAGCATTTCTATTCAAACCATCAATCATCACATAACTAAATTGGAAATCCTTGAACCTTAGGCAGGTTTAGCTTACCTAATGAGCAGCCACTACATGTGAACCCATAGACATAGCAAAATATATAAGTAGGCAGGTTTAGCTTAATACAACAAATGACAATTGCATGTTTTTGTAGGCCAGGTGCTAAAAGCAACTGATGATATTGATTATATAAGGTAAATAATATGCAGTGTGTTTTACCTGGCACTCTGAGCAACAAGTATGGCAGGCCATGCTAAGGCACGAATCTATCCACCCATGCAAAAAAGAAAATATATGCTAAGGTATTGATGTCCAGCCCCTAATTTCTAGTCTAGGCATGAAAATGTAGGAATGGAAGACTCTAAATTCTGCAATATCTTGCACAAGACTGTGATTTATGTAATATTTTGACAAGCCTACAATTGCTTCTATTGCGTCATCAGAAACAATATCACAGCAGAAATAATAAATTTTGAAGTTGTAGTAGCCTGTCACAAGTTCTAAACCTTGTACAAAATCTGAAAATATAAGTAGGTGACATCCTTTCTTCATATAATACTCAGATTTTAGGCACTTCAATCACATTGAGAGTACCACTTCCTATTCTAAGTCCAAAAAGATAAGCTGTAAAGCCTGTTATAAATAAAGAAGAAAAGGAGACAAAAAAGGCATAGGTCCTGGTAGATGGGAAATCTATTTAATTTTGACATAAACTCAGAATTCTTCACCAGACATGCAGATAATAATTAACAAAAGCTAACAAACTCCCACAAAACTCATTACAAAAACTGAACCCAGTCTCAGATATTTTTGTAATTGCAAAACTTATTTACTTTAGATTATAAATCAAAACAGCCCAAATCAAAAGCATGCAAAACCAATAATATTTCAATCCTTCATAGTGATAAATCTGAAAAGAGATTATTATGAGCAATACAAAATTTCTCCAGCAGAAAAACATTATTATAAACTAATATTTCAAGTCCTGGTAACTCTATCCTACCAAGATATAGCGAATGAAATAAGGTCCAAATCCAAGATGAACATTTAATATTTTGGTAATTCCACCCTTCAAGAATAAAAAAAACTGGTTACGAGTATGCTAAGTTTGGTATCAGATGCTTAAATCTACGGTAGTTTTTCAGATTGATGGAGCAAACAACTTGATTGAAGGATTCAAGTAAAATATATGCATTGGATTCATTTAGAGCAGCTAAGTTTGCATAATTTACCTAACTAGCTTAGAGCATAGAAGTTTAACAACATCTGAATTTGGCTTGGTCAAAATAAGATTACTCTAGGAATTACTATCCCACTTTAGATATATCTGAAAAAGGATAAAACAGTCATTATATTCAATTGAGACAAAGATTAAATAAATATAGATGGATACAATCCATTGAAAATTTTCCTTAGCCACTTAAAAATTGCAACACAAGACCACCTGAGTACCTACTTCATTTTAAGAACTTAATTAATTTCACAAATACCAATACCCCTCTTGTTTCATGTCCAAAACATGGAGTATCAAACCACAAAAAAAAAAAAAAAAAAAAAAAAAGAAGCAAGATTTGACAGAAGCATATCAGCAAACAATCTCTAAAATCAATCATCGAATTCAACCTCAGAAACATCCATACAGTTTCCTTTCCCCTAAAGCGTTATCAATTCTCCAAGTAGCATATTTCCTTTCACACTCAGTTATGCCTCAAATTATAAATCAAATACATACGCAAAGCTAAATAAGAAAATAAACACAATTGATGAACACTGATTTAATCGTCAAAATAACTACAAATGAGCAAAAAAAAAAATACAAAATCCCTATTAAAAAAAATCAGTTAATTGATACTTACCTTTTTCGTTCATAGGTAACAATTGTAGAGTTTGATGTATCGTTCGGTTTTCAATTCTTGTACAACGTTATTGGTCATAGGATCTAAGCCGAGACTCGATACAATCTTGGGGAATATGAAATAAGAAGATCATCAATTAAATATGTACTACATTTGAAATTGATAAAATAATACGATTCATTGGGGAATATTGTCAAAGACTTAGTGTGCATCAAAATTTAAGTACAAATTAGTGAAATGCAAGTACCAAAATTGACAAAATTAATCTCTATAACCATTCATAACCTCAGAAATTATAAATAAAAGTTTGAATTACACTATAAGAACCCTAAATAAACAAATGAAGCAAAATTAAAACTAAAATCAACTAATAAGCTCGAAAATCCCCAAAAATCACACGAAAATCTCCAAAAATCGCAAAAAAATTGACAAAAACCTTAAGTAATCAAAATAAAATCAACGAAAATCAAACTTTTATCAACGAAAATCAAATTAAAATCAATGAAAATCAAACTAAAATCAACGAAAATTACCTTGACAAATAATCAATGAAATTAGAAGCAGAATTGATGAAGAATCAAAGCAAAGGAAGATTGCAGTAAGAAGGGAGCAGAGAAATTGAAGGAGGAGAGAGAAAAATGGCGCCTCAAATGAAGGAGGAAAGAGAAAATGCAGGAAAATTGTATTTGAAATTACATTTGATTGGGATAAATTGTAGCCATTGGATGCAATTAATCCAACGGTTGTAATATGTCCTCACATATAATAGGGTTCTCACATAAGGGGGGTGGTCTCATATGATCCTATTTCTATATATATATATATATATATATATATATATATATATATATATATATATATATATATATATATATATATATTGCTTCAACTAGGACAAATACCACTGAGATAATACTACATCCCATTGCTGCAATAGTTCCTAGTTTCTATTATACACCTTGTTTCTCATACACCTTGTTTCTATTATCCCATTGCTGCAATAATGCCGTTAATGTTGTGGTACTTATGATATACAAGATGAATACCACGTGGTTGAGACTTTGGATAGATATGTATTACAGGGCGGAGGTCCATGCGGCCCAATCTATACAACACATTTGTAGATACTCATAATTATAATCCCTCTGATGGCTAAAAATTATTATTATGACCCTTAAAACACCAAATCTAGTTCTTCATTTACACAAAGACCTTAAAAATTGGTTAAGTCATTTTTCATGTGATTTGAGCATGGTATGTGAATGCTTTGTTTTGGCAATAGTTGTAAATTATTTTGTAAATTTGTAGTAACCCATATAAAGCCTCAAGTTCAAAAACTTACATTTTAACCACTAAGTTATTACATATTACATGTCATTCTTTCATAAATTAATATGAAATTTGAATCATGATATTAATACGATAACTTGGGAAATACTCAATTTCAAAAAAAAAAAAAAAAAGGTTCCTGATTGAAAAACAAGTAATTAAACAAAATGAGATAAACAAAAAATCAATCAAAAAGCTAGGTAATAATTAATCTAACGAACTAATCAAAACATCACTTTAATGAGATTCAATTGCTCGCTATAGAATGATTTTGCAATCAATCAATCAATAATAACTTTATATACTAAAAGACACACCAGCAATGACACATGTTAATTTCTGGTGTGTCTTTAGTTTTTTATAAATTTTTTTAGAAATTTTATTTAAGGAAGCTATTTTGAAAAAATCTTTCAAAAAAAAAAAGTTATTTTGAAAAAAAAAATTGTTTTTGTCAACAATATATATGAGCAACAATATTTACCTTTTTTTTTATGTTGATATGCAAGTAAAAACTACGGTTGATTAAGGAAATAAATTATCATTTGTAAAACAATGTAATTTTGATGGAATATTTTTAAAAATATAATCTCGATTTAATATACATTAACCCGTTTACAAAAATTTTTATTTATAATTTTCTATATAGAAATCACTATATACTCCCTCCGTCCCTAAATTAGTCCAAAATCTTTTGACGCATTAAATAGTCCAACATAATATCATTTTCTTTTCATTTTATTAAACTGTAGGAAAAAAAATAATTTGACTGTCTTAATTAATAATTACAATGAATATCGTTTCAAAAAAAACATTGAATATGGAGTAATAAATCTATTAAAATATGTAGATGTGAAGCTAGAAAGATTTCTTTTACTACATATATATGAAAGAAATTCATACATTAACCATCGAACCTTTTATAAGAAAGATAGTTACTTAACCATCTAATCCAATCATAAACTATGTTATAAGTATGAAAATAAATGTATATACTTGATAATTACAAGGTCTAAATAAAGTAGCAACCGGTACAATGCCCGGGCTACACACTAGTAAATTTATTAAAATCTATACATAGAAAGAAAATAAACTATGTGAAGCTAACTTTTTTCAAATTGTATACACGATGAAAAACATTATTGACCTTCCACTATCCTTTAACTGACTTGATCACTGTTGTTCATCGCATTCAAGAATTTCAATTCAATTAAATTTTTTTCAAAATAATATAAATTTTAATATCTAAAGATAATTTTAGCTCTTTAAAAAAGATATTGTTTATATTTTTTTATATAAATTAAATCCTAATAAATTACTATTCGTTATTTTTATCTACGTGGAAAAATTCTTAAATCTCATTCGTCACTTTTGCTTATGTGACGAGTGAATTTTTTTAAATCTAAAATAAAATACAAATCTAATTTTCAATTGGTCTAAATAATACATCTGCTTATGTGGCGCGCCGAATGCTCCTGAAAAAATCCTACTTTATTATATATACTAGATGTAAGCCCGTGCGATGCACGGTTCTAATAAATTATTTTATTAATTTAAAATTTTGTATATTTATGAAGATCATTCATTAAATATATGGATAAAATTTCTAATATCATAAGATAATTTTTTAATTTTAAGTCTAAAGTTATCTTTTGTTGTTTTATTAATTTTATGTGACGCTTGAATTTAAAATCTCAAACCTTATTCACTAATTTTGCTTATGTGACAATTAAAAAATTCATAAAATAAATGACAAATCTAGTTTTTTTTATTGATCAAAATAAGTCTTTTTCCAATGTTTATTTAATATACTCGTTCTGTTTAAATGGTAGTCTCATTTATAATCGTTTAACTATTAAAAATTATGGGAAATTAGTCATATGAGATTTAGTTTTATTCGTCTTAGTCTTTTGTCTATGCGTTTATTTAATATACTCGTTCTGTTTAAAATGTTAGTCTCATTTATAATCGTTTAACTATTAAAAATTATGGGAAATTAGTCATATGAGATATAGTTTTATTCATCTCGATGAGTACATTATTAAAATCAAACTTTTATAATATTTTCTATAAAAAAATTGCATCCATATAGATAAATATTACTTTTTTTTTGTTTTTTATTTTTAAGAGAAGATAATTATTGGTTTTTAAAAATAATTTAAATTTTAATTATTCTCTATTCGTTGTTTTTACATATGTGTCAGAATTCTTAAATATTATTCGTCACTTTTGCTTAGGTGGTGAGTAAATTTTTTAATTTAAAATAAATTATTAATTTTATTTTTCATTGGACAAAATAATACCTTTTCTTATGTGGCACGCCAAATGCTCCCGAAAAATGCCTACTTTATTTATATATTAGATTAGATTAAATTATATTATATACTCATATTCATCTATTATTATTTAAGTATCTCACTTTAAATGTTGTACAATTCGTACGTACTTAGACTAATCAGTCGAGTCAGATTTAGGTCAAGTAACTCCGAGACATAGGTCACTTTGGGTCATGGGTCAAGGTTTGCTCGACCTTAACCTAAAGTTTTAAGTAGGGTCAACCAAACAAGTTAAGAAAAAGTTTTTTTTTTTTATTTAATTGATTTTGGCTTATACTCTAACATTCTCACTAATATGAAGTATTAATTTTAGTCCCTACATGTTGAGAGAGCCCTGTTTTATCACCTTTGTTTATCAATAGGCAAAATCATTTAGGGGTTAAAAGTGTGGATTTTTAGGGACTACTTCAAGGAATTAGTTGGGGGAGCAAAAGTTGGATTATTAGTTTCAAATTTTCTGAACTGAACTGAACTTATTAATTAGTAATTTTTAACTACGGATTAGTGATCTTTGATTATTTATTGATTATTTATTATTATACATATGTGTGTATACAAATATACATATAAAAATATTTAAGAAAAATATACTATTATTATTATTATTATTATTTATTGATTATTATTATTATTATTATTATTATTATTATTATTATTTATTGATTATTATTATTATTTGATGATTATTATTATTATTATTATTATTATTATTATTATTATTATTATTATTATTTATTGATTATTATTATTATTGTTATTATTATTATTATTATTATTATTATTATCGTTGTAATAAGAGCTTAAAAGAATGAAATTTGGCTTTATATCATTAGCAATATCATTAGATATAAACTGAACTGAATTGATTAGAGCTGAACTAAACTGAACTGATTAGAGCTAAGCTGAACTAACTGAACTGAACTGAAAATAAACGTATGAGAACCGGCCCTAAGTAACTTAATTGAAAATTTGTAACTTAATCCCTCGGTCTTTTTTAATTGCTTCACTTTGACCAACACGAAGTTTTATGCCATTGAGTTAAATATGGTGAAATATTGCGCAAGTGGGTTTGTTGGAAATTAAAAGATAAATAAAAGTGATAGTATATGAGTACTGCGTAGCATATATAAAGTAATAAATGTAAGAAAAAAAATTTTAACGGATCATAGATAATTTCATCCTAAATATTAAATCTTTGCATTTCATTTTTCACACATACTTACAACTAGCCTAGAAACCCATATTTAGGGTCTGTTCTCTTACGTTGAAATTCAGTTTAGTGCAGTTCAGTTCAGCTCAGTTCAATTCAGCTCCTAATTTCCATCTCTTATAAAATATTCAGTTTAGCTCAGTTCAGTTCAGTTCAATTCAGCTGAGTTCAGTGAATGAGAACAGGCCCTTAATGCGTAGTATGAATTTTAATGAATCCAAACCATACTTAATATGCAATCAAATATCCCCAAGGCGAACATCGAAATAATGTCAATGAAAACACAGGAAGATGAAATACAAAGTTATAATTCACAAAAATGGTGGCTATCACTTGCAAGTTCAGCATCAAAATACACACATCTCATGTCTATTAGAAGCACCCTTAACACTAAAGTATGAGCTAAAGTTAAGTTCATTCACTCCCAAAGCTAACAAAAATGATGAACAGGTCAGGTAAAAATAGAATCTTTAAGAGCAACCATGCGGGTCAGAAGTGGGCTACAACATCTGAGATACACCTAAAATCATGTACCCTAAACATATTTCCCTCGATATTTAGGCTTCAATTCTTTGGAGAAATTTGATTCCCCATTTTCTCCCTGCTTGTAGCTAGTTGGAGCTGGAGCAAAGACAGCAGAATGAAGGTTGCCTTCATCTAACCACTTCAAATGGTTTGCCTTAAAATCTAAATGCATAACTTTAGCAGCGTCAGCAATTTTTTCAGTATATGATTCTACCTTCACCATCGTCAATAATACCCTGCTGTAACGAAAACTAAGTATTTGCTCAGAGACAGCAACCAGTTTGAAACATGGATGTTCTGGAAAAGTGGGATCAGGTGAATCCTCCTCTCTTAGCACAGGATAGAAGTAAACAAGCCTTCCGCCCATTACAAGCATCCTAGCAGCTAGATCAAGCAGATCATGGACACATTCAACCAAGCTATATGCTGCAGTCGATGGTATGTGGCCCGCTCTTTTGTCGTCAGGAACTGTGTAAGGGCCCACCACACCCTTGAGCAACTTTCTACCACCAGATTTACGTCCCCCAGCACGAACGCCATAAGGTGGATCGCAAATTATTGCATCAAACATCTTGCAAAGGAGCCAAAGCATCAGATTATTTGGAATGCCAAAAAAATATCAAATTGAAGGTGGGGAGCAAATAGGACAAAACTATGAGCTCTACTCCTTTTACTTTTAGGCAACAATATAATGTGAAGATAAAAGGCATACTTGGAAAAATTTCTCAAAGCTTCTTCATCCCTTTTCCCTCTCTTTCATTCTTGTTCTAGAATAGGGTCAAATTCCATAAATCCTTATGTTACCTAATTTATAGTACACTTTGCCATGCAGAAAGGGTACATGCAAGCAATTTGCAATCTAAATGTGTTAAATTAGTCCAAAAGTGTACCAGTACCAATCAGTATTTTAAGTCGTAGCTTGCAGAAAGATTAGCAAAGCAGGTAACAGTGTAACACCATTCCTCATATCGTCATGGGATACATTTACACATTTTTTATCAAAAGAGGAATAAAACTTTTATCTTCACAGAATGATGGAAAAGAACAAGTACTTTGTTAGGGCATTATCAGGAACTGTATACTATTGAGCATTGACATATTCAGCTTTTGAAAAGTATTCACAGCTTGACAAACAGATTAAACTTCCATACACAGTATGTCAAAGATGTCCACAAGGGTTTATATTTACCCTTGAGAGCCGCCTAGAAAAGCAATCAACATGCTCAGAAAATAAGGTTACCACTTATCTTACAATTACTAATGCATCAAAATTTAAGCAGAATGTCACTTTACCCTGATCAAGAATTTCAAGAGGAATATGGAGATAAATATTCACATTAGCTGCTTCATGACATAAATATTGAACTGGCAGCAAAATACTAGGGTCATTGCGGAGGTTATTTCTCAGCCAGAAAACAAACATCAGCCATGATCAGTTGTATACCTATTCAAGACAATAGAAAGACTGGAGAAAAAAGACATTGGCTTTATGATTACTGACATAACATGCTCATCATGCTACTACAAACAGTACATAGCCCAAAATCCAATGTAGGCTAGAGCTAGAAATTCCAATCAATCAATAACTATATATTAAAAGACACACCAGCAATGACACATGTCAGTTTCTAGTGTGTCCTTAGTATTAAAATTTAATTATTGTATAAATAGAAATGATATTTACCTTTTTATATATATATATATATATATATATATATATATATTCACATTCAATTAACTAATTAATATGGAAAATAGAATAGCAAAATATAATCTTTGTAAATATTTTTAAAAAATACAAATCTTCTACTATAAGTTTTTATGTGGCAAACATAAAATCCGTTTCAAAGATACAATTGAGATAGACAAAAGTTAATGACCAAAAACGAGATATTACAATATATGATCACTGATAAGTATATACGCACATAATTTTTTTTGTCAATAACCGTGCATGGCAAGGGACCTAACCTAGTAACATTAAATTATCAGGTTTTATTTATCCGAGTGTTCACACTGATATAAGAAATGCACATCAGATATCAGTAAGAAAGTACCTCTTTAAGTCCAGCACGCCATGGAGGAAGGTTATTATCGGCCCTTAAAAGGGATATCGGTTCTTGCAAGCCATACTGCATAAATTACATGAATCATAGTCATAAAAAAAAGTGCCAGCACAGAAAGCAGGACTCAAACTACCTTTAGATTTTATATAAAAATAAAAAGCATAAAGAGAGATTTAGATCAATTAAACAATCACGTGGCTTAAATTCTAGCTTGCCAAATACAATGGTAACTTAAACATTTTGAACAGTGAGCACGAGATCTTTTGATGCATGCAAAAAAATGACTACTGCTGGTTATCTTTGACATGTCCAAATATTTTTCTAGTAACTTTAAGAATAGGAAGTTGTGATTACCTGCTTAAAATTACTCCAAACATTACGGTCAGGTCCTCGTCCATCACGAACCACCCTTATATCTATGTCTGCACCCTAAAATTTACATCAGTGTCCTTGCCAGATAGCCATAATATACGTAACAGAGAAAAAAAAAAAAAAAAACACACACACACACACACACACACACACACAAAAAAAAAAAAAACAAAAAAAAACTTCTACTCAAAGAAAAAAAAAAAACTCTCAAGTGCAAAAAGGACCAACCATTGTCATTGCACCAAAATGTGCAGCAGCAACTAGGACACTCCCAGTGCCAACAAATGGATCATAAACAAGCTTCCCAGGGGCAGCAAGTCCTTGATTGGCCATTAGAAATGCCATTTCAGCATCCATTGCAGTTGGTCCTATGTAAACTCTGCTTTTTAGCTGATATGTAGGCAAGAGTTTTCTGTCTGCTGCACCAATCTCTCGCCCAAAGAAGATTCTCTTTTCAACAATAGGTGGCAGACCATTATTAGCTTCGTATTTATCAATCTCTATGAACCAAAAATTATGATCTGGATTTCGAAGATCCACTCGACCCTGAAATAGAAATTCAACATCTAAAGTAAGTGGTACATCTTAAATATCAGCTATCTCTAAGGATTATATCAAAAGACCAGAAGATAGCGACAAAATTAAGTCTTATATAGAATTAGGTTAATTTTTAAATTACCACCCAAAAATGTAACCATTTTCGAACTAACCACCCGTTTAATTTTTTATTCTAAATTACCACCCCTTAAATTAAATAAATGCTCAGATTACCACCCATTTCAAAAATCCGGTGGATTTTCCGTTTGTAGGCCCCACCTAACACTTATTTAAACCATTTTGACTTATTTTTTCCCCGATTTTTTCTCCTTAAAAACGCTCTCTATACTTTAATTCACATTTCCATCCCCAAATTCAACCAAATTTCAAAGAGAAAAAATGTGAATTGGAGTTAGGAGAGTGTTTTAAAGAGAGAAATTGTGGGGAAAAAATCAGTCAAAAGGGTCAAAATAAGTGTTAGGTGGGGCCCACATACGAAAAATCCACCGAATTTTTGAAATGGGTGGTAATCTAAGCATTTATTTAATTTAAGGGGTGGTAATTTAAAATAAAAAATTTGATGGGTGGTTACTTAGAAAATGGTTACATTTTTAGGTGGTAATGTAAAATATTTCCATAGAATTATGAGGGCACAAAATATATCAGATAATTTATATTTTTTTTTTTTTTTTAAATATGGATGTTAGTGAGCAAAGAACTGTAACAATGTGCCGGAACAAATCAATCAATCAGAGCCTTAATCTCATAAGTGGGGTCGGCTACATGAACCAAAAGCGATAGATCCGTCTAGTCATCGACAAAAATCTTCCTCCATCCCTTACTATCAAATGCCTCATTCTCATGCAAAACCATATATTTCATATCCTTCCTAACTCCTTCTAACCAAGTCATTTTTGGTCTCTTTTTCCCTCGTTTAACCCCTCCATGGTCCCACTCCTCCACTCTACATACCAGTGCACCCTCGGGTACAAATGCCAACAAAACATCAACTAAAATATAAGAAGTTTGAAAGGGGGTTTTCAACACTTCATTTCCTGTCTAGGTGGGGAGTCAATAACCACTGATAAAGTTAGAAATAGTATCCAAACAAATGGATTTATAAATTTCAAACAGCAATACAGCAATCCTGAAAACTTCCTATCAAAATTACAAAATAATTTCTATACTGCTAAGATTACATTGATAATGGCATACAGAGTACAAGATGTGGTACATGGACCTGATACTAGGATAAACTCATAAAGCCACCAAAGAATTTACTCAAAATTGCATGGTCTTAGTCTATTACTCATATAGGCTGAATAACACTAGAAACATGATTGTGCATTACTAAGCACAGCTGAAATTTTTAACTATATTAATCGTTCTGTCATTCCTCAACATGAAACTTACACTGTCCAAGTAAAAATGGGGATCATCTTTTGATAGTGATACGAGCAACTATGACAACTAGTAAATGTACAAGTAATTGATATTTATTGGTGTAACTGCCTGGAGCAGGGGTATATTCTCTCTTTGTTTGGTCAACAGGAAGGGGATGAGGGTTAAGAAGGGATGCTTTTACAATTAAGATCAGCACTAGCTACCCAAATGTGCAAGGCTGCAAGCTACATATGAGAAAAGGGAAATAATGAACCTCCAACTTAGTTTCACTTTCATGTTTGACAATGCACAACATTGACCATTAATATCTTCTTTTTTTTTTTTTTTTTTTTTTTTTTTTTTTTTTTTTTTTGACGAGAATATCTTTAGTTGCATACAAGTAAAAATAATAAAAAGTTGATTTTTGAAAGTACATGTCAAGGTGAATCTAACATGATCTCACACGACTATATTTTTCCTTATATTGATCACAAAACATGGTCAAAGAGGTGTGTGAACAAGATTTCACATGACTATATATTTCCTTATATAGATCACAAAACATGGTCAAAGAGGTGTGTGAGAAAAGCATTGAAATGGTTTCAAAAAAAGAAAAAAAAAAAAAAAAAAAGAAAAGCATTGAAATGAACAATGAGTAAAATAAAACAGGAAAGGGCAGTATAAATGAGATCAGTAGTTTTCTGATAACTGAGAAGGGCAGAACTGCCAATCAAAAAATATAAAACTAGAGTCATGGCAAAGTGTGGCCTCAAAATCATAGAGTATATCTCCGGTTTTACTTTTTTCACTTGGTGAAGCATAAGGTAAGAAAGGATTCAAGGAGATCATATAAATAGACCATAATGCTCCAATATGAACTTTTACAAAGACTTTGAATTGAGAAACTCTTTCAGCCTAATATTATTTTTCAAGTCTCTTTCCTTGTTTCTCGCTTTAGTTCGGAGAGAACCTTAAATATTCTCAATAGGAAAGGCAGATTGCAAATTTGTAGGTCACAAAAACTATGACACCATTTGTCTGTGGTTTTAATGGTGACAACGCAAGCACCATTACTTAACATTGCAGCATAGCTACTCAGTTTCACGGGTAGTGTGGCTGGCATGGTTGAGTCATATACTATTTTAGAAAATTGCAAATTTCCAGTAGGAGTGCTAAGAGGCGTAAGAAGAGATTCTATAGCAGGCACACAGGACAGCTCTGTAGCTATTTTGAGAACCCTATGGTAAAATAGGAACAACAAAAGTTTTGAGATCATGCTTCTCGACAATTACTTTCGAGGAACATATTATGGAAGTCCATGGTTAAATGAAAACAAAAAAATGTCTGAGATCATGCTTCTCGTCAATTATTTTCGAGGGACAAATCCTTTTACTTGGAACCACATCAGCTTTTCAACTCATGCTTACAGGCTTTACCCTGGAATGCCTCTAAAAGATTTGCAGACTATCTGGGAAACTAACTTTGTAGCTTCTCAAAAATAGGGAAGTTTGCAAATTTATACCCTTCTCAATTTGATTGATTACTAAATTTTTCAATTATTTATTCCAGGGAAAGGGTTGCAAATCTTGTCATTATGTTAAAAGGTTTATGACACTGCCATTCCATTAATTTACCAGTCCAGCAGAAGAGAGCTTAGAATTACATGATGGACATAGATAAAAACTTCTATTCCATAATAGTTTTTATAGCTATCACAGAGAAAAAATTGATAGACCATCTATTTCTTCAAAATGAAAAGTCAAAGGCCAAACAGTGAATAAACAATTTAGTGTTTTGTCTTTGAAATTCTAAGGGGTGAATGGCTTCAATTACAAGATTTATATCAACATTACAAGATAATATATATTGCAGCCTTTATCAATATCAATTCTAAATTGATATTCACCTAAATTCACTACATTATTAACACTTCATTGTGACATTGAAAGAAGACATGCAGGCACAAATAACACTACACTTGAATGCCCTAATATACAAATGATAAGCATGAATAATTATAATAAAATATACCTTAAAAGGAATGAAAGCTAGCTTCTGGAGGAGTTCTTTCTGCTCTTGGGTAGAAAAGGTCTTGCCAAAGCTGTCAATATTTATCTTGAAAGTATTTTCAGACGTCAAGTATGGCAACTTCCTATCATCAGGATAGGCATTCACAGCCTCCTCTAGCTGATCATAGCTAGTTCCTTCCCCCCATATCTCATACATTCCTTTTACAAGTATGCCTGCAAGTTTTTGGTAGATAAAAGTGAAAACTAGCATAGCTTTTACTGACAGAGCTGAAAATTCTCAAAAGATTCAAGTACATTTGACACTACAACACCCTTTCTTTCACCTAACAAAACTGTTAGACTGCTTTGAAGAGAAGAACGTATTGATGGTATTCCTAATATGTTGCAAGTACAAACACATATAATTAATGTCATAGGTAGGTAACTGCATTTTTAATTTCTTTGTTATAACTTCAATTGGAACACACTTCATAGAAAAACTAGCTATAGGCTGTGTGGGTAATTGCATGTAATATGAAATGAAAAGATTTTTTTGTTGTATATTTAATGCAATTATAAATAAGTGGGGACAAATGATTTTATCATTTTGATGAGTGGTAAAAAAATATAATTGATGATAGTTTATGAATGTAACAACAACAAAAATCAGTCTTAATTCCAATATAGAATTGGCTACATGAACCAAGATTTTATCCTTTGTACACGCTAACCATGATCCTCTCCTCTTATTCCATTCTGTCTAAAGTCATATGCTCCTGCAAACCCAACTTCTTCATGTCCTTCTCATCTCCTTCCATACAAGTCATCTTTGGTCTTCCCTTGCCCTTCTCTAAGGTCCCCTTGATCCCAAACCTTGACTTTTCTTATCAATGTGTCTTCCAACCTTCGTCTAGCATGCCCAAACCAAACACAATCGGCACTCCCTTATTTTATCCTTAATGTACACAGCTCTAACTTTCCTTCTAATATCTTCATTTCTAATTCTATACTTAAAGGTGGTCCCACACATCCATCTCAAACATACGCATCTCTGCTACTGCCATCTTCCTATAATGATATTTCTGAATGCAACATTCAAACCCATATAGCAACTGTGGTCTAATAACCATCCGATAGAATTTCCTCTTTAACTTTAAAGGTATGCTACGGTTACAATGTTTACAATACCCTAGTTGTTGCTCTCCTTTTGAGCCAATGTGTTACATCTTGGTCAATTTCTCCAATCTTTTACAAAATCGACCCAAGTTCTTTAAAACAATAGCTCATGGGCACTTCCTTACCATCCAATGTTACCCATTGAATTTTGTGCACCTTTGGACAGAATAAATAAATTTGCATGTATCAGATAGTAATTCCTTTTCTTTTCAAGTGAAAGGTCGTGGATTTGAGTCTTAATTGATTGATACATATTTAATGTGAAGATCATTTGAGTTGAGAGATTGTTATAGAAAAGGCATCGACATATGCCAAAATAGCATTTCTTTGTCTTGGATTTAAGTAATAGCATAGATATGTTGAAAAGCACAAAACTCCTCAACAAATTTCAAATGATATTTTCTAAATGGTCAAGAAACCTCTATCATCCAATAATGAACAAGGTTTGTCACAGTTTAGTTTTGACTTGATCATCAAAGAATTCATCTACTACATGAAATGGACAATAGCCACTATCACATTCAACCTAATCTTCGTTGTATACTATGCTAAACATTTATCCCCAAGGACCCAACATATATAAAGTACTTCTTTCAATCTAGAAATTTAGGACATGAGCTTCTTAATTTTCGGCGAAAAATACTCCAAGAACCACAGAATCGTAATCGAAATCCTAAGGACAAAAGAAGGTTATTATGTAACTAGACATTCATTTTGGGTTTTTCCCCAAATGCCAATAATCTAACAACCAGTTTTATCACACTTGCAATCAACAAAATGGCACCAATATTCCAAAAAACACTGAATAGCATACAAATCATAACAGTCTCTACAAAACAAACCCATGAACAAAATTCAATTCTTGAAAAGATAGAGTACCCAATAAATGAAATCAAAAACAGAAAATTGTCAATAGCTAAAACCCACCAAAAAAAATATAAAAATAAAAATAAAATTCCTGCTTACTTCGTTTGGCGATGTTGCGAGCAATATCCTCAGAAGGGATATTGACGAAATGGAAGGGGTTATCAGGGTGGAAGTTATCTGGTAGTTTCCACTCAAGTGATTGGATTTCGCCATTGTTGTCCTCTGCAAAAGCTCCAAAAAGCTCAGCAAGAGCTTCAACTTCAGGCTTGCGATAATCTAATAATCTATGGAAGAATACGCACATATACCACATTTTTAACTCTCCTTCTCTCTGTTCTCTGACTCTCTCACACTCCTCTTTTTCTGGCGATTTCAATGGTGGTTATTGAGGTTCAAATAAGGGTTTTAGAGTGTAGTGACTATTTTCGTTCCTAAAAGTCTAAAACCCAAATTTACTTCATTTATCAATTGTGCCCACTTAATTCCTATATAAACAAATTTGTTTATTTAGGGTTATAATCGTCTTTTCAAGTACTAGTGGAGGGGTACATACGTTATTTTATGTACTAGTTAAGGGGCACATGTATAATTTCATGACCAAATAGTAAAAGCAAGTTACTAACCGTTACTGGACACCTCACCAAATTACTGAACAAATCTCCACACTTTTTCAATTTATTTACAGAAATGACACCAGAATAACAAAATTTCGTTTATCTGGCAGATAAACTTGTATTTGCCGTTTATCAAAAGGGTTAAAATTGTAATACAGAAGTATATGAGCAAAATCGCTACTTGATTCGAGGCGGGGTTATACCTATGAGGAAACACAACTTTTCGTATGCGGCCTGCTGTATCGTGTGGTAGGTTACTCAAGTTTCTTGGTTAGGGGTTACTCGAGTTGTCGGGGTTACTCCAGTTTCTCGATCAGGGGTTACTCGAGTTGCCGATGTTACTCAAGTTTCTCGGTCAGGGGTTATTCGAGATACTAGGGTTACTTGAGTTTCTCGGTCAGGGGTTACTCAGTCAAGGGTTACTCAAGTTCTCAGTTAAGGGTTACTTGAGTTACTCATGACCTAATAACCCCTCGAGTAATCCATGACCGAATCACTCGAGTAACCCCTAACCGACTAACCCTTCAAGTAACCCCTGACTAAGTAGCCCCATAACTAAGCCTTGATCGAAGTCCTTAAGTAACTCCTGACTGAACTCCTTAGTTTAGTCTGCTTGGATTGAAGGAAATGGAGGGAAAAGAAGGGAAGGACAATGGAGGAAGGGAATATATTCTATTTGGATAGCAAATTAGGGATGAAAGGAATTGGAAGGAACAGAAATGGAGGGATTAAATTCTAAGAAATGATCCCTCCAACAATGAAGAGATTTGGAAGGAAAACTCTCATTCCTCCTTCCTCTTCACCTCCCCTTCATCTCCCTCCCCTTCTTTTCCTTCCCTTAACTTAACCCAAACAAGTTGTAAGTAACTTTTGACCGAAATTACTCGAGTAATCCCTGACCGAACTCCTTAAACAACCCCTGACCGAGTAACTCGAGTAACCCATGCAAGTAACCCCTCGAGTAACCCCTAGCCGAGTAACTCGAGTAACCCTTGACCGAGTAACCCCTCGAGTAACCCTTGACCAAGAGAAACCCTTCGAGTAACCCCTATCCGAACCCCTCAAGTAACCCCTAATCGAGTAACCCCTAACTAAATAACTCGGGTAACCCCTGACAAAAAAAAACTCGAGTAACCCCTGACAAAAAAATTGAGTAACCCCTATTAAAAAAACTCGGGTAACCCCTACCGCATGGTGTGGCCTGCTGGACCAAAAAATTATTAATGAGGAAAAAGGATGGATTTATTTACATCTTGGTCATTTGAAAAACATATTTTATTTATCAATAAGAGAAACTTGAAATTTCTCCACGGTTACTACCTCTAATTTAATTGACGGTCGGATAAAATTGTGAATTTGTGATTAGAGGGTTAGAGGCTTCTATTCAAGTATATGGGTCGTGTTCAGTGAGATCAAATCAGGTCAAATGGAGTCTATTTTAAAGTTAAATCATGCTTAATATTGTATCCATATGAGTTGAAATTGAATTGGGTTTTTATGGGTCCGATCAAATCAGTTAGTCGGGTCAGATTTTGACACTTTTATTGCGAGCCTATTTATCATCGTTTTTTTTATTGGTGATTTTCTAAAATAAACATGATATTGATTGGTATAGGTTTGATTAATCATCAATAGCATAATACTAAAACAGACACCAGGAATGACACATGTCACATCATGGTGTTGTTTTTTCCCTCCAAAACTACACCTCCCTTTTTAGTAAATTTTTTTTTTAAATATTCGTGTAATACAACTATAATAACATAATACTAAAACAAACACCAAGAATGACACGTGTCACATCCTGGTGTTGTTTTTTCCCTCCAAAACTACACCTCCCTTTTTAGGAAAAATCTTTTTTTTTTTGAAATATTCGTATACAACTATAATAATATTAATTATTATTAAATCAGGCTATGCTTGCATCGATCATTTTGGACATATGTATAGCTAAATTTTCTGTCAATACAATAAATGATTTTGCTTTAAGTTTCGTATTTTTTTTAAAATAAAAAAGAATTATTCTACTTAGCTTATTTTTGGAAGTACATTGTATAGTATTTTTTTTTTGTAACTAAATTAATTCATTAATATGTTTCAAAAAAAATATTAATTCACTAATAAAAGGTTAATTTTAAAATTACCACCCGTAAAACACACCTTTTTTTGAAATAACCGCCCGTTAAATTTTTTATTTTATTTTACCACCCCTTAAATCAAAAAATCAAGTAAAGTCCCACCTTTTTCAAAAATCCGACGAGTTTTCAGTTAGTGGGCCCCACCTAATGGCTATAACCGATATATTAAGCCTCTTTAATGTTTTCACCCCTGTTTTTTTCTATAAAATAGCTCCCCCAACTCAATCAGTTGATTCTTCTCCAATTTCTACCAAATTCTCACATATTGTGCTAAGTTGTATTTGAACACGAATCCCCCACAAGTGCAGACGCAGAATTTTGCAATCAGGTATGATCAATTCTCTGTTAAAATTAGGGTTCTTGGCACATTATAATTGGGGAATTGGGGGATTACTGAATTAGGGTTCTTCGCACAAATTAGTTGGGGTATTTCGTCAATTATGGTTCCTATTGCTGATGAATTAGGGTTTCTATAAAATTTCAGAACAAAAGTACAATTTTATAACAAAAGTTTTGAAGAACCCTAATTTCATAAAAACATCCAATTAAATTGTGTCGAGAACCCTAATTTCAAAAAATCCCCAATCAAATTATGTCAGGAAACCTAAATTTAGAAAATCCCCAATTAATTTGTTTGTGGAACCCTAATTCCAGAAAACCACCAAAATTATTTGCCAAGATACAAATAGAATTGAGCTTACCTAATTGGGACTTAAGTGACTACGTACACTTGGTTGGGTCAAATTCTTCAAATAGAAGCTTATAAAAATTGGGAGAATTTGAGAAAAATGGTTTCAACATTGTGGAGGAGTGTGAGAATTTGTTATATACAACAAAATCGAGAAAAATAATGAAAATATGGGTCCATTAAAAGTCATTATGTGGGCCCCAAGGTCGGAAAAAGGACCGGAATGAAAAAAAAAGGTGGTAATTTAAATATTTTTATAATTTAAGGGGTGGTAAAAATAATATTAAAAATTTAATGGGCGGTTATTTCAAAAAAGGTGTATTTTGCGGGTGGTAATTTAAAAAAAATTTCTTAATAAAAAGCCATACAACGTTTACATTGTATAGGTTATTGGGAATAACATGCATTATTGATGTAATATATTGTATACTATTTTTAAATATTTTCAACACAATTAATCAAAAATCATTTTTTATTCCTCAATTGTAGTTTTAATTACTCTTGAATTATTATTTCATCTTTCTTATATACATTACATTTATTTATTCCACTTAAGTTGCCTCATTTTTATATTATATTACAAATTAATTATGGGAAAAGATTATTACTATCGTGCATTTCACGGGCACTAATCTAGTATTAATTAGTTTTAGGCCGCCCTGAGTATAGCATGACTATTTCTATCTTATCATTGATTTTTGTTTATTATGCTTGGAGTATCTATTTTGATCGTAATAAAATCCATGTATTATGACATATCTCAAAGCTTAAGCTTTCGATGTTTACACGTGGATTTGACTCAAAGCGCGGTTAAATATTTCGTTCGGTTCAAATTAGATGACAAGTTTTGACTATTGATACTATTCATAAATTTTGCTTTGATTAACATTTGTGGTTTATTGATAGGAAAATTTACCAATCACTACTGTGTATTAATGTAATTTTTGAAAGTTACTACCTATAGACACCTAAAAATGTCTCCCCAAAACAAAACCCGATGATGAACAACCTTTCACCGCCATTATTGGTCGTGTTGAGTATTTAAACTTGGAGTGCTTAAATCCATATTTCCATTTCATAAACCAACCCAACTTCTAGCTCATTTCCCCAAACCATAACTTATTTCCCCCTTTTCGTGCCTTTAAACCCAAAATAGTTCATTTCGTGTCCTTTAAAATTAAATCATTCATTTCGTGTTCTTTTTATAAAAACGTTTAATCCAGTTTATTTTGGTCCATAATCTGGGTCAATGATTGAATAGTTGGATGAGGCTTTAAAAGAGCTTTCCAGTGATATATTATAAGCCCAAATCCGAGTTATAACGAATAAGTTATGACCAAAATATTAAACTGAGCCCAAACCGAACCTAAGCCCACCTTACCTACGACCCAATGATCATGTGGAGGGTCCAAATTATTTAATCTCATTCCTAAAACAATTAGGATTAATTGGAAGCTTCTACAAGTTTCTAAAAGATCTTAACAAAGATCTTAATTATCCTTTTTGAAAAGATAAGATGAAAGAGTTTGAAATTGAATAAAACTCTTTTTTTTAAAAGTCCTAATTTTATTCGAATTGAAAGATATTCAAAGATAGACAGATATTATTTTCGTGCTTCATAGTTTTTATCCAAATTTTATATGGTTGGATAGCCCTTGAAATTATATTTCCAATGATATATTATAATATCAATTCCGAGCTATAATGGAAAAGATATGAATAAAATGTCAAACTCTATCCAAACTGACACCGTCTCACTATTTCGGCCATATCTAGAGTGTTCCAACGATATCTTATTCATCTTATTCCGAATTCTGGATCAAAAGATATGATAAAAACAAAAACCGCAAAAAGTGCTGTCTATCGCAAGAGTTTTATTCGATTCGAATTCTTATCTTTTCTTGATTCTTCGACATTCTTTTTTCTCTATAAATAGAGGTCATATCTCCCCTTTTCCAATCATCAACAAGCTTGACCATCAAATAATTCTCTTCTCCCTCTTTAGCCTAAACA